CCTACCACGCAGCACGTGGCTGTCTCCCGCCCCCCAACCCCCCGGGTGCCCAGGGTTGGGTTCCACCGCACCCGGGGTGCTGGAAGGGAGCTGCTTAAAGAAAAAATTCAATTGGGGGTTTTTAATAAGAAAGAAAAAAAAAAAACAGCCTATTTACCATCTACCTCTGGCGATAAAGTGAGAAATATCACAGGCGGGTTGTGAGGCAGCAAGAAGACCCTCTTAAACCCTAGCACCCCGAAAACACCAGGAGCCCCCAGTACCTGTGACAGCCCAGAGTGAGGGGCGGCCCATACCTGGCTCTCTTGGAACAGGGCTGGACGCTCGAGACTTCGTTCTGCTTCGGTTTGGGGGGTGGTCTTACAGCCTGGAACTGAAACAGGGTTCACTTCAATGACTCCCCAGTAATGCAGGGGCTCCAAGAAACCTGTGCCAATCAGGCAAAGACCTCACATCTAAGGACAGGCTCCCCCACACTCACCTCTAAGGACAGGCTCCCCCACACTCACCTCTAAGGACAAGCTCCCCCACAATCATCTCTAAGGACAGGCTCCCCCACACTCATCTCTAAGGGCAGGCTCCCCCACACTCATCACCAAGGGTACCCCCCGTCACAGCTGGCGGCAGCCCGGGATGCAGCACAAACACCACGAGCCAGCAGCAAGCGACTCCGAGAACCTAAATCCTGTCACCTCCTATTGCTCCTCAGAAATTTCCCATTTTCATTTCAAGTACCTCCTCTTGCACCCCAATGTGGAATTTGGAAAACATACTCCATGCAATTATACCCTTAAAAAATACAAACCGTCTTCCTGAGCCAGAACCGTCCCCTCTGAGGGTTCGCAGACATCACAGGACAATCGGATCCGCAGCATTCCCGACAGGCCACATGCGGGAACCGCCAGTCCCTGGCCCACTGAGCAGGGCCACGGGGAAGGGGGCCCCGGTCCCGGCACGGTGTCCCCCACACGTGGCCCCTGACCTCGGCTACTGCCCTGCCCACCCGTGTTCATGTCCCAAACACAAGGCTTCTTCCAAACGACACTTTGATTTACTATCTGAAGCGACTGCCCCTCAACCTTACTGGTCACCTCAGCTGACCACAGGCTCCATTTCCTGAACATCGCGCTGACCTGGACACCCACACACACGGGCTACGGGAGAGACGCGGATCCTCCAGCCCCAGACTCGGGCTTCTCCAGAATCCGCAGGAATACCCGACTCCTTCTTACAAGAAAATGACTCTCGAGTCTCGGCTTCCCTAGGCCAGGTTCAGTGTCCAAACCCACTCGCTGGCGGCGGGACAGCAGCAGGCGAGGGGCCAGCAGCGGCAGCCTGGCCCTGAGCCGCTCAGCCTCTAGCCAGGGACGAACCCGGACCTGACCCAGCTTGGAACAAGCGGCGAGGCCTGGGAGGGGAGCTCTGGCCACCGTGTCTCCAGCTTCACCATAAAAGCCTCCGTAACCTTTCCTTTGTCCGCGTGAATCAGGAGAACGTCTGCTTTGCTAACCTGTCCGAGCTGCTCGGTGTTATTAAAGTCAGTGGCTAGTACAAGCCGAGAGGACACAGGGAGCACGCGGTCACAGCAGGAGGCGGCGGCCAGCAGCCACGGGCTCCCTGCTCTGATCACGCCAGGGCACCGACCACTGAAAAACAGGCCTGGGTGGCACCTGGTCGTCCTGGTGACAGTACTGTCCTCGGATAGTGGGTGACACAGCACAAACCCTCCGCTGATGGGACACAGTGGAAACCAGACAGGACACGGAGTCCATCGTGAAGACACAGGGCGAGGCACCTGCTAACATGTCTGTAACCTCAACCTTCAAATCCCACTTCCACCAACAGCGAGGACACTGCCTCTCAGCAACGTAAACGGGGCCAACCCGCGGGGAGGGGCCCCGTGAGGAATTACTGAAATGGTCACGTGGGAAACAGCCTGAGAAAAACCCACCACTGTTCCACCCACAGCACCTCCCAGGTGGGAGCCAGACGCCCTGCACGCACAGGGCCACCAACAGCTGAGCCCTCGAGACGGGACCCACTGGGACGCGAGGAAAACGTGTCGTCGCCAGAGGCCAGGCCCTGCAGTTCTCGCTGCCACCTGGAGCAAGCTGGGTGTCTAGGGCTGCGCTGGCTCCCACGGCGCGGCCACGGGCCCAGCAGAGCCGGATGGGTGTCCCCTCCCACCCCCACCCTGAGCCACCGCGCTCTCCCCAGCACCACCCGCTCGGACAGCAGGGGGACACTGCACGCTCATGACAGGTCGGGACGCAGCCTCCTACACTGGCCATGCTGACAGGCTACCGAGGGTTTAAAGGCAAATATCCCGAATGCCCTTTGTACCCCGGCAGCAGCCAGCGGGGCGGCGACGTGACCTACCGACAGCATCTCTGCAGACACCTTCAGCGGGACTCTCCACGCGTCTAGAGAGAGAAACACGTCCTTTTACCACGACACACGTTCAAACAGGAAGGCCTCTGGGGGAGCGTTTCTGGGGTGGCGACCCCAGGCACGGGGCTCGCTGACAGGTCACGAGGACGAATGTAGGACAGTGACTGAGCCACAGTCTTCCCGTCCGGGGAGGGAGGGCGGGTGCTCCCAGGACAGCGCTCACTGTCCAGCCCACTGCACGCGTCCCACACGAGGTCACACTGGGGACACAGCACCACTGTCAGAGCAGAGGCCTCCCGTCCCACAGGGGAGCCCGGAAGTGCGGGACGGAAGGAGGCGGGAAGTGCGGGGGGCAGGCGGGAAGGCTCAGGAGGTGTGGGGAGCGGGCGGGAAGCAGGACTGACTAGACCACGGCGAGAACGCAGAAAGGGGCGGCACAGGGTCGCTCTGTCTGAGTGCCATCTGCTCACCCAGGAGATTCATCACGAGGTGCTGGGTCGGGGCAAACGGGTCGGGCAGACTGAAGGCCGTGTAGCGGCTGTACTGGATCTGCCGCAGGGCCTCGAAGTTCCCCAGCAAGATGTCCCCGAGCCACTGGGCGTTCACGCAGGGGATCCGCCACTCTTTGGCTTTCTCATACTTTAAACCCGTTGGCCTTTTTGGGTGGAGAGAACACATCTATGAAATGTTAGAGTTGTCTACTATTCAAATGTGTCTTTACTTTCAACAAAAACTGGTAAAAAATATTCTCATTTGTCAGAAATGGCGGGGCCGTCCCAACAAAGTTAAGGGGGAGCCCTGGCTGGTCGGGAGGTGTCCCTTCAAGGTCACCCTGGATCCTGAGACACCACCCACTGTCCCTACATCTTCCTTGTTCCTGTCACCCACGTAACTCACATCTCACTAACTTAATCTCCAAGTGCCCTATGGCCATGTCTGCAAAAGTTATAATGAACGTCTCCGCCATTCTCATAACAGGCTCCGACTTCCACACTCACGTTCGCACTACACAACCGTCATCTATTAGAGACACAGAGCTGTGCAGCCAACCACGCCCGTGTGGAAGCCACGCGTCGTGTGCCACGCGTCGTGAGCCACGCGCTGAGTGTGAGGTGACCCGGGCCTCACAGNTGCCCTATGGCCATGTCTGCAAAAGTTATAATGAACGTCTCCGCCATTCTCATAACAGGCTCCGACTTCCACACTCACGTTCGCACTACACAACCGTCATCTATTAGAGACACAGAGCTGTGCAGCCAACCACGCCCGTGTGGAAGCCACGCGTCGTGTGCCACGCGTCGTGAGCCACGCGCTGAGTGTGAGGTGACCCCACACTTACTCTTTGCAGATGAGGACTGTGTTGCTGCGGCACAGGTAGCCTGTGTATTTGGCACCTGCCAGGTAGGCCATTAGCTTCAGGTCGTCTCTGTCACCGTCCACAAATCCGGTCACAGAAATAATCTAAGTGGAGAAGAACAAACACAGTAAAATGCAACTTACTGCAGGGGCTCTTTCTCTCCGTTTCAGGTGCTTTCTGTGGACATGTCCATTTCCTCTCTGTCTGACACTGTGGGGGGCACCTGGGCGTGGAGTATCAGCCGGTTCTCCTCTCCCCTCACTGGCACGTTCTGAGCGACAGCCAGAGAGGACACACAACCTCTGATCACGTCCTGCTGGTGCAAGACCTGGGCTTATCTCAGGACTGCAAACAGTGTCACAGATTCCGAAGAATCAGGCGAACACCTCCTGTGTGCGGGAGGCGCTGACTCGGGGCCCAAGACTGATCCCGAAGGGGAAAGACAGACGTTGGCCTTACGTGCTGGGAGCAGGGCTTGCCCCCCGGGGGGAAGGCCACGGGGAAGTGCAGGGCGCGGTGGGGGGGCAGCATCTTCTTCCTTTTCAGCACGGTGTTGAGCCAGTGGGCCGTGACACAGCGCTTCCGCTCCCGGACGGCCTGCGACACAGAACGGGTTGTGTGCAAGGGTCCCTGCAGGACGCAGGGAACTGCAAGGTGGCCTGTGACACAGGACAGGTTCCCTGCAGGATGCACAAGACTGCGAGGTGGCCTGTGACACAGGACAGGGTCCTTGCGAGGGTCCCCGCAGGATGCACGGAACTGCAATGTGGCCTATGACACAGGGCAGGGTCCCTGTGAGGGTCCCTGCAGGATGCACAACACTGCAAGGTGGCAACGCTACATCCCACACTGGAAGTAAAGGAATCCCATGATGTTTAGCTCTCAATGCACTAAAGGAACAAACTGATTTTAATATCACGTGAAATGTTACCAACAAACATGAGAGAGCCTGACATGGGGGATGAAAGCAACAAATCTCATCATAACCTGGGAAGTGACTTCACAGAATAGGGAACATTTACGATCATGAAGATTAAACTCCCACAGGAACACAGAGGGCCCCCCCGACTGATGAGGGAACAGGACTGCCGCCTACAGTGGCCACAGGCAAAGCCCACGAGTATGTCTGCACTGTGGGGTTGGTGATCAGGAAACGCTCCACTCCCAGAGACCGGCTTCCTGGAGGCCATCTGTCGTGCATGCACTAACGGGTCTGGCACAAATAAGAGCATCTCTAAGGAAAGAGACGGGAGCTCTGGGACGTGTGCGCCCGGCCAGGCTCTGCGGACAGTCCCTCAGGGGCAGGACGTCCCAGTCCCAGTGCCACCCGCTACGTACTCGCAGCCACTCGGAGCATGAGTGGAGGGAGGTCCGCTCACCCTTAGCACCCCCGGGCTTCCCTTTCTCTCACCTCAAAGACATAGAAGCCTGGTGTCCACAGTTACCTACCCACCAAGGTCAATGAAAACTACTTGTGGAGGCAGACAAGTCCTCCCCCAACCCGGTCGCTTACGACCCAGGTGCAGCTGCAGGACTCACCTGTGCAAACATCCCGCTGACCTGGCTCTCGCAGAGCAGGTGCGTGCAGCGGCTGGAAAGTGCGGGGTCCACGGTGCCGCCGTGCGCCTGGATTATCTGCGTGCACAGGACGGGGCACGGTTATAACGTTAAACCACACGTCTCTTCTAAGAACGCATCATATAATTTCCCCAAAGTATAAAGACACGTGTCAGTGACGTTCATGGACACGCCCACCAAGCACCGGCATGAGAACGGACCCCACACTCAGGCTGAACTTCGGGGGGGGGGCTGGCTCTCCTTAGGCTTCCTCGCCCTCTGTCTAGAAACGACCCTCCAGTTGTGAGCTACTTTCTGTAACAAGGCTCATGCCTTCACCTCGTTCCCAAACTGCCATTATTCAGAGTAATCTCTGAACCTTACGGCTTCCGTGACACGGCACAGGGACAAGGGGACAGGGCCCGGCCTTTGCCTCCCCGCCCCCCGTCCCCGCACCCCGTGTGCACTCTCCCACGGCCTCTCCCTTTCCACAGCCACATGCAGCCTCTGCTGCTGGCCTTTAAGGGTGCGCTCAGGCGTCATCTCCGCCACAGACCTTCCTTCACCTCCCGCCCCACAGGCTGGCGTCCTCCTGGGACCTGTGCCGGGGGCTCGCCCTGCACCTCCTGACGGTCCCCTAGCTGTCTGTAAACGGGGCTGTTCCCTCTGCTTGTCTGTTCGTATGTGCTAGGTCCTGCCACACACCCGGGCCCCGCAGGGGTCTGAACACACCCTGCTCACAGGGGAGCTAATTCAACATCTAGAGCCACTTAAACTCATCTGTTTAAAAACTTTTTGACTCAGTCCTGATCTGTGGCATTGCAAGAGAAGTGCTTACTTTTTGTTTTCTTTAAAGGCCACCACACAACACAGTAAGTAAATGGACCACAGCCCACACCTGGACCGGTGGACCATGGTCTCGTCTCACCCGGAGCCGGGACTTTCTACCTCTCGCCTCTGCAGACAGAGCGATGAAGGCAGAGAAGCTGACGGTCCCTATTCCCTGCCACCAAACACCTGACCTGACCCCCATACCCCAGTTAAGTACAAGTAAGAAGCGCCCCATAGAATCCCAGCGCTGAAAAGAACCCTAAGCATGACTGAGTCCAACACTGTCCCCGCACAGCTAAGCAAACTGGAGCCCAGAAAAGTGATCTGCCCGAGGCCAGAGAGTGTTAAGAACAAAACCCAAAACACACTCAGAACACAGGACGAGCATCTCAGGAGGCAGCCAAGGAGTGACGCTGGGAAAGGAAAACCTGCGGGTGCAGAGCTCACCCTTTTCCAGGTGGCCAGCAGCTGTTTGTCGGACATCTGCTCGGGGTAATCCGCGATGGCAAACACACACCCCAGCAAGAAGCCTTCTTCGGGGACTGGAACAGAATTGAACCAGAAAAAGAAACTCAGAGCCCCGTGAGTCCGTGAACAGAAACTTAAGGAGCCCGTCCCGCGGGGGTCGGTCTGAGCTTAGGAAGTTGGTGCTGTGACCAAGATGCATCTACCTACAGCAGTGGGCGCGGGGACACCGCACACACACTGGCCTGTCTGTAAATGACTGAGAAGTGGAGCCAGCATGGCTCACGCCTGGCACTGACCGCCCGGAGCTGGTCCCCGTGGCACCGTGACGTTCCAGGGACGCCAACGCCCACGTAAACGTCTGACGTTCCAACACCGGAGACGGTGCCTGCTCCCGTCACACTCTATCCTTTCTCGGGTCCGAGGGTCACGACCCCATTTTGCTGGAATTACTTGGGTACGAACCCTTGCCCGCCCTCAAACACTCTCCAGCATTTATGCAGGAGCAAGGCTTTCGGGAGAAAGAAAAACATCCGTGTTACTGACTCTCCACTGCAGGGTCGTGTCCAAAGAGCTGGGGTGGCGGCTGCGGCTGGTGCGGCTGGTGCGGCTGGTGGGACACGTGGGGCAGGTGCGGCTGGTGCGGCTGGTGCGGCTGGTGCTGCAGGGGCTGGGGGGGCGGAGCCTGGTGCTGCAGGGCCTGCGGCGTCTGGCCCAGGTGCTGGGCCGCGTGCGTCTGCATCTGCTGCTGCTGCTGGTGGTGCAGGCGCTGCAGCTGCTGCTGCTGTAACTGCGCCAGCTGTTGCTGCTGCAGCTGGTGCAGCTGCTGCTGCAGGGCCTGCTGCTGCTGCAAGGGCTGGAGCTGCTGCGGGCGGTGCTGCTGCGGCTGCGGGAAGGGGTGCGGAGGGACTGGCTGGGGCTGCGGGAAGGGGTGCGGCGGCTGGGGCGGGATCTGCGGCGGCGGCTGGAGCTGCATGATCTGCTGGGGCGGCAGGTGCAGGACGGGGTGCGGCGACGGCTGCGGGGGCAGCTGCGGATCCGGGGCCACCTTCACCTGGCTGAACAGCACGGCGCCGGCGCCGGCGTGGCCCTGCTGGCTGTGACTCGCCTGCTGCTCCATGTGTTTCGTAGGCGCCGAGAGGGACTGTAAGATCTGGAACAGAAATGGGGCAGTCACGCACGGGCCCCGGAAGGCACTAACACCAACTAGGAGAAACAGCGTCTCTTACATCGGGGCGGGGAGCCTTCTTCCTGCCGAGGGCCACGGGGACACTTACAGCATCATTCACGTCCACACAGAATCATCAGCTTAACAATCAGCTATGGGAAAAGCTCCTAGATTCACTGAGTTTCAAATCCAGCCTGCGGCTGCCTTGGCAGGGCCAGACGCAATGATTTCGCGGGCCTGACGTTCCCCACCCGTCTTACATGGTCCTTTAATACTCAGCTAACTGGCAATAAGTAAGCAGCAGACCAGTGGAAGCCTCCCGAACAACACTGCTTTTCTTTTGTGTTTATTAAAAAGCATCAGAGCCCAGCCAGGGTGGCCCACTTGGTAGAGCACTGTCCTTGCACCCAGAGGTCACAGGTTCAATTCCCAGTCAGGGCCCATGCCCAGGTTGCAGGCTTGATCCCCAGCGAGCGGTACCCAACAGGCAGCCGACCGCTGCTGCTATTTCTCATCGATGTCTCCCTCTCTCTCTCCCTTCTTCTCTAAAATAAATTTAAATATATATATTTATTAAAAAAACCCATCACCTTCAATAGAGCGAGTGAAGTCACCCAGGAGTTAAAACTGTGCCCGTAGAGAAAGTTACAGGGCTGAAGTGGACAAACATAAAACCCCATGTGGCGATGTGTTTACAGGGCACAGCCTGACGGGCAGCAAAAGCCACGCAGGTGCTACAGGGCGCAGCCCACTCGCCCCCACCCAGACCTTCCCTAACAGCGATGCTCAGGCACCCAGCCAAACTCGGCCTCCACCTCGCCTCCTTCCCACAGCTGCCGACTAAGATAGGGGTCCCGTGAGAGTCGGGCATGAGCCCCCCACCACCAGTGACAGCACCGGGGGGAGCCTCCCCGGACGGCAGCTCCATCAGGGCCACCAGCCTCTCCTCTACAGCCACCCTGCTCCGGGCACTGGCACCGAGGGGCAGAGCACCCACCGCAGCAGGCTTCTTTAAACGGTCAACGTTCCAGAAAGGGAGCCCTCAGCCTCCCCCACCACGCCCTGCAGCTCTGAGATGGACGCTTGCTTCAGACCAGGGGGAAGCCCTCGGGCCAGCTCTCCCTCGGTTCCCGCTGCCCACCTGCCTCGCAATGACAGGCGGCAGCTGAGGGCCCTGGGGGGGGGTCGGGGGCAGCTGACCGTCATCTGGATAAAGCCACGAGCTCATGGTCCACTTCTTATGGTCCATGGGAACCAGAAACAGTTTACTGAAAGTCAGCACAACTTAACCCTAATCAAAGCAAACTTGTCTTTTAAAATTAACTCTAGAAATTCAATTTTAACGTAAACCAGAGCCACACAAAAATGTCACGTGTTTTAATTCTATCTTTGACTTAAAGAGACTCCGAAACGTGAAGGTTCTGCAACTTGCAAGGGGAAAGCTCCAGATTTAGTGACGAGATGATGGGGGTTAAAACTGAAATAAGTCAAACTCCAGAGTTGGGGGCCTGTTTGAAATGACCTCACAGATGAGACTCCTCCAAAAGGAGATTCTCTGCTTCAAACGCTTGCCCGCCGAGCTCTAGACAGAAAACTTTAAACAAATACGTGAGCAGCAGGACAGCTGTCTCTTCCCCAGGCCTACGGGTGTCACCAGCACCCAGCGCGGGGAGGGAATGAGCCCTGCACAGTCCACGCCCCCCCGGGCAGCGCTCTGGAGCCTGACATTTCCACAAAAAGGCAGGAGGGCAGGGGGGTACCCTGCACGTGTCTGCAGGTCAGCCGTGAGCACAACCCGGCCACTGGTCAGGTTATCACTCCACAGCTCAGGCTTTTATTTCGTACGTACGTTTTCACCCTCAAAAGTAAGCCCGTGTTGGTAACTGATGGGTGATGAGTGCCGTCTGGCACAATGGAAAGGGTCGAACCGGGGGCTGCCCCGCCATGCGCCCTGCACCCCAACCCCAGCTTCCCAAACGAGCTTATGTCAAGAGGGCCAGCAGGAGGCCTGGAGCTGGAGGCCGGCCTCTCTCCTCTCTGACTTCCCAGCGCGGCCAGGACTGGCGGGGGCCTCGTGCAGGGGCGGCCATGACCTGGGGGGCTC